GCTGGCTGGCGGGGATTCCGCGAGCCTGGCAACCGCGCGCAATTGTCGTCGACGCTGCAACTGGCCGCTGCCACGCGCTAGGTGACGGCAGATGCTCTGTAGTACAGAATGGAGCGATGTCCACCAGCTACTGCTGCGGTCCGCAAGTGGGGAAAGCCGCCGACGCTGCAGCTCGCGCACGACCTCGACATGAGATTGTGGGCTTGTGGCCCGAGAAGTCCCAGCGAGAGGAATCTGGTTGCGCGCGCATGAATGTTTCCGCGGCGGTGACCCACGAACCGCAGAGCTGCCCAAGCTGAAGGGACGCGCCAGGCTTGAGCCGAAAGGCCACGGAGGCAGCAGCGGCGGGGGCAGGCCGAGACACTTGAGAGGGCAGAACACCGTTTTATTATTTGCGGACGCGCCAGAGCTGACTGTCAATTTCGAATACGGGGCTTCGGTGGTACTGAGGCTGGGCCCTTTGCTTCAGATCGGGTTCACTGGGGGGGGTTCTCGCTGGGCTGGCGAATTATTTCTATCGGAATCTTTCGACTGTCCAACTGTGCCAGAGCTTTCGCTGGCAGACTGGGTAGGCTGGGCGGGTTCGACTGCATCGAACTGAGCAAACTCTGCGAATGTACAGGCTGGCTGGATGGCAGGGCCAGGCGCTCCAACGATGGGCGAGACGAGGGGTCTTTTGATTCGTCGCGAGCAGAATTCGGTGCAGGAGCAGGCGCGCCTGAAACAGCTCTCGTGTGCCCACGGGTCGTCTTCGTCTGATTGGCAATTGAAGAGCTCGTTTCCGGTGCCATCCGAGGTCTTTCCAGCATTGGTGGTCTGTTCGGCGAGATACTTGCCCTCGTGACAAACTCAGTGCAAGTGGCGTAGAGGCGTTGTCTGCCGGCCACTGCCTTGTCCTGCTGCTCAGCGCGGGCGGCCCCGGCACGGCTGGCCTTGGAGCCCGGTCTGGCAGCGCGGGGGCGAGCGGAAGCACGCGGTGGCCGCCGTGGCAAACCCAACGCGCGAGCGAGGAGCTGGTCGCCCGATTGGGCCATCTGAATTCTCAAACCTAAGTGGGGCTTCCACGGTAGATCGCACAGCCGAGACATCGACCAGATATGGGCGGGTAGCAGCGCTATGAACAACGACATCCACATGCGATGGCCCACGTCCGCCCCCTGGGTCGCATGTATATTCGACAGGCGCACGCACGATGGATCCCTGAATCTGTTCCAAGAAATCTGACTTGCTGAGCGTCGCGGGGCTGACGTTCCAGCCCCCGAGCGCGAGCCGGAGAAGCTGGAGGGGGTGGAGGAAGCCCCCGAGACGCCGAGATCGGAGAAGGTTCGGCCCTCGCAGGCCGACGCCGGGGGAGGGGAATAGACTGCAACGATCGAGAATCTCTTGAAGTGGAGCACCACAGGGAGGAACCCATCGAGGCTGGAGGAAGAGGGGAGGCACTGGAGCCATTTGGACTGAACTCCTTCTAGAAGAGGATGGGCTCTGAAATGGCCCTTGGGCAAAATCCATTCGCCGCCTTCGTTGGCATGCTCGGGTGCGACTGCTGGTTCGCCTAGGGGATCGATGAGTCTCCCAACATCCTGGCCATGCCTGGTAGGTCGGGCAGGGTCGGCAAAACGCACGCGATTTATGTCGCGAAATCGGCCTCTCCACTTGCCCGCGCTGCCGTCGGCGATGCGGGTCTCGACCAAGCCTATGAAGTCATCCTTGCAGGTGGCAATCCAATCAAAAGTCTTCCGGCCTATGCAAGTGGCATTGCAATAAAAAAAAAGGGGGGCGCATTGGCGCGGGAAGCGTTGGCGGGCTCAGACCGCACAGGAGTGGCAAGGACACTCATCTGGCCCGCCGTGTCAAACCCTGCTCTGCCTAGTCACGATGACTGGGGGCGCCCGCCGCCTGTCTTGCCCTTGCCCTTCTAGGGCGGTGGCATGTCGGCTGGCTCGGCGGGGCGGCTGGCCTGCTCCGCTGCCTGCTCAGCGGCGAATGGCGCGGGAGACAACTTGGCGGCCTCGGCTGCGAGCGCTGCCTCGTGCTTTTCGGGCTCGGCGACACTGGGCTCCTCGGCGCCGCCAGCAGCGGCCGGCGCGCCACCCGAGCCACGAGGCAGAGCGCTTGCGGCGGCCGACGCGGCGTCGGCTGGAGCGCCGGTCGCGCCGTCGTCGCCCTTGCGCTTCTTGAGGCACCTGGCCTCCTGCGCCTGGCGAACCTTCTGGGCCTGCTGTCCCTTTGTGGCGAATTGCTGCTGCAACTCCTCGAGAGCCTTCCTGACGGCGTCGAGCTCTATTTGCTCCGCCTCGGCAACTCCAGCTCGTCGGTTTTGCGGAAGAGCTCTTGGCCCCTGGAGATGGCGAAAGGCTTCTGGGCGCCGTCTGATGCCTGGCCGTGAGCATGGGTCGGTTCGCCAGCGCCGACCCCCGTCCGTCTTGGCCAACGACTCCGCGGCGCGCCTCTGGCTGTGGTGATTGACTGCCGATCTCCAAGCGCCGTCTGCTTCGCGCATGGCCTCGACCTCGCTGACCTGCAAGGTGGTGTCCTTATCGGACATGGCGCGGACCTGCGCGCTGAGGATGGTTTTCGAGGCAGGGTCCGTGACCACGGCTACTGCTTGTTTGAGGTGGGCGGCGAGGGGGGCGCGGCTGCCCCGGCATCGCGCGCCCGCGGCGGCCGCGGGCGTGTCCGCATCTTCGACCTCGTAGACCTCATCGTCGCCAAATCGAACCACGCTCGGACTCCTCGAACGTGCGCGATGCAATTTCATCGGCCTGTTGCAGCGGGGGCAGACGGGCTTGATCGGGTCGAAGAGGTCGTTGTGCTCGCATGCATTGCACCCGCGGCATCGACTCAACAGGCGGGCGGCGCCCGCCTGGCGCCGCGGCGCGCCCGCGGCTGCGGGGGAACGTGGCGCCTGACGCCCCATGAGCCCCAGCGTTGGTCGACCGTAAAACTCGCGCCTGGGCAGGCGCGCGGAAGCTCCTCAAGCACGTCGGGAAGGTCCTGGGGCAGCCTTGGGAATGTGACCAGGGCCGAGAAGGCTTGAGCCAAAATGGCTACGGAGGAGGGGGCGGAGGAGGAAAATTAAGCATAGTAAGGAGGCGAGAATTGTGAATGTAAAACGTAACGCGGAAATTTGTATAGTCTGAATGCGAGGAAGACTACGAATCTGAAGCACAATCATAATATTACGACTAAGAGAAAAAGGGTGACAATCGCATACTCAGAAGGCGAACGTGCATCATATTCGCCCGACACTAGTATGAATAGCCATACGGATCGTAAGAATATGAGAGACACATAATCAGGGCATCGCGACAACTATTACAAAACCGTGTAGTATACATAAGACGAGTACGAATGCTAAGATGAATGGTGATGCGACGAATACGAATAGTAATCATAATGATGACCAACTAAGAAGGTTACTCACCGTAGTACTTCGCATATGACGACACCTGATACTAATAGCTATATTTTTGATAGTGATAGCGCCCATAATGATAAAACGAGGAAACAAATAACGCATACGAATGCACATAGCGCTACCATTAACAGCAACAACGATTTTACTGATACGAGCCATACAAATACTGTTATTATTAATACCACAATTCACGATCATCATGATATCCGCATACCAATAAGATCCATAATAACATTGAGACTACCAATACGACGAATACTATTGCTGATAATATACGACTAATATGAATAGTTGGCTTTGAAGAAAAAGCAGTAACATTATACTGATCATTCCCATACAACGAATACATATGCTGATGCTGCTGCTGATGCTGGTGAGGGAGAGGAGGAGGAGGAGGAAGACACGGAAGAGGAGGAGGAGGAAAAGGGGGGCGAGGAGGAGGAGGACAAGAACGAGGACGAAGACGAAGGTGAGGCCAAGGAACAGGAGGAACAGGAGGAAAAGAAGGACAAGGACTAGGAGGAGGAGGAGGTCGAGGAGAATGGGGAGAACGAGGAGAACGAGGAGGAGGAGGAGGAGGAGGGAAGGAGGGAGGGAAAAAGGACGGGAAAGAGGGAGGAGGAAGAGGAAGAAGAGGTGGAAGAGCACGAGGAGGAAAAGGAAGAGGAGGAGGAGGAGGAGGAGTGAAGGAGGGCGGGAAGGAAGGAAGGATGGAGGAAGGGAGGGAGGAGGATGATGAAGAGGAGGACCAGGAGGAGGAGGAGGATCATAATACGAATATCAGTATGTATACCATTAAGTAGAATACTTCCATGGATAGGAAGTATATGACCAACCACAGGACAATGAAGAAGCAAAACAAGGTGGAAGAGGAGAAGGATGAGGAAGCTGAGAGGAGGAGGGGGAAGGAGGGGGAAGGGGAGGACGAGAAGAAAGAGGAGAACAAGGAGAACGAGGAGAATGAGGAAAACGAGGACGAGGAGGAGGGAGAGGATGAACACGAGGAGTACGAGGAGCACGAGGAGGACGAGGAGGACGAGGAGGACGAAGGAGGACGGGAGGAGGAGGAGGTGGAATAGGAGGAGGAGGACGAGGAGGACGAGGAGAACGACGAGGAGGAGGAGGGAGGAGGAGGAGGAGGAGGAGGAGGAGAGGAGGAGGAGGGGGAGGAGGGGGGAGGGGGAGGAGGGGGAGGTGGAGGACGAGGGGAAAGAGGATAACGAGGATAACGAGGAAAACGATGAGGAGGAGGAGGAGGAGGAGGAGGAGGAGGAGGAGGAGGAGGAGGAGCAGGAGCAGGAGCAGGAGGAGGACGAGGAGGACGAGGAGAACGACGAGGAGGAGGAGGAGGAGGAGGAGGAGGAGGAAAACGAGGAGGAGGAGGAGGAGGAGAACAAGGAGGAGGAGGAGGTGAACGAGGAGGAAAAGGACGTCTGCGATGAATGATGGATGCTTCGAATGAGCTGCGCCGATGTATGTCCTCTTCACATTCCTGCACACTGTGCTGGTGATCCTGCCGCTGCGCCAGCTGCTCGTTCATCCTCCCGCCCTCTCCCCTTCTCTTGGGGCCCGCCCGTTGCAGGAGACGAATCGAGGCAGCGGGTGGCAGAGTGGAAGCGATCCGGGTGGGCCCTCGGGCGCGCCCTCGCTGCGTTGCCTGCACATGCTGCGCAGGAGGAAGAGAGAAGGAGGAGGAAAAAGAAAAGGAGGACAAGGAGGAGGAGGAGGAGGAGGAGGAGGAGGAGGGGGAGGAGGAGGAGGAGCGGTGAGGAGCGGTGAGAGCGGAGAGGAGGAGGAGGAGTAGGAGGAGGAGGAGGAGGAGGAGGAAAAGGAGGAAAGGAGGAAAAGGAGGAAAAAGAGGAAAAGGAGGAAAAGGAGGAAAAGGAGGAAAAGGAGGAAAAGGAGAAGCAGGAGGAGGAGAGGACGGAGGAGGAGGAGGAGGAGGAGGAGGAGGAGGGGGGAGGGGGAGGAGGAGGAGGGGGAGGAGGGGAGGATGGGGAGGGGGAGGGGGAGGGGGAGAGGGAGGGGGGGAGGGGGGGGGGGAGGGGGGAGGGCGAGGGGAGGGAGGGGGAGGGGGAAGGAGGAGGAGGAGGAGGAGGAGAGGAGGAGGAGGAGGAGGAAGAGCCCGAGGAGGATGAGGAGGAGGTGGACCAATGCGAACCCAAGGTTCATCAACGGTGTTGGAATGCACACTCCCTCCAAGCTCCGTCTTCATAGGCCTTTTACAAAGTTTCGTTTCCATTGAGGGAGGTTCGCCGTTGAGGGACAACCGTGTGAACATCCTGCCGCGCACCAAAACACCATTAGCCTGACGAAGGGCCCAACCATGTGCAGGTGTGAATACCGCAGTTGACACTACCAATTTCGGTGGGGCTCCCTATAGGGCCAAGAAACGTGTGAAGGGGATGGGTGTGCGGGACGCATGCGGGCGGCAGCACTGGGGCCTTCGGTGGAGCTCCCTCTATGGGGCCACGAAACGTGTGAGGGGTGTGCCGAAATGGGTGTGGCTGACGCATGCGGGCGCGGGCACTGGGGCCTTCGGTGGAGCTCCCTATGGACCACGAAACGTTTGGAGGGGTTGTGGTTTTGTGCCGAAAGGGGTGTGGCTGACGCATGCGGGCGCGGGCACTGGGGCCTTCGGTGGAGTCCTTCGTGGGGCCACGAAAGTGTGGGGGGTGTGCCGAATTGGGTGTGGTTGACGCATGGCGGGCGCGGGCACTGGGGCCCTCTGGTGGAGGCTCCCTATGGGGCCCACGTAACGTTGCGAGGGATCTTTTGTGCCGCAAATTTGGGTGTTGCCTGACGCATGCGGGCGCGGGCATGGGGGCCTTCGGTGGAGCTCCCTATGGAGCCGCGAAACGTGTGAGGGGTGTGCCGAAATGGGTGTGGCTGACGCATGCGGGCGCGGGCACTGGGGCCTTCGGTGGAGCTCCCTATGGAGCCACGAAACGTGTGAGGGGTGTGCCGAAATGGGTGTGGGGGACGCATGCGGCCGCGGGCACTGGGGCCTTCGGTGGAGCTCCCTATGGAGCCACGAAACGAGTGAGGGGTGTGCCGACATGGGTG